GGCCGCTCGCCCGTGTGCACGTGCCGGTGGCGCCGCAGGCACGACGTGTTCCGGAAGGCCTTGCCGCACTCCCCGCACGCGTACGGCCGCTCGCCGCTGTGCGTCCTCGCGTGCTTGCGGAGGTCCGAGCTCCCGCGGAAGGCCCTGCCGCACTCCCCGCACGCGTAGGGCCGCTCGCCGCTGTGCGTGCGGCTGTGGAGCGTGAGGCAGTGCTTGAGCGGGAAGGCCTTGCCGCAGACTGCGCACTCGTGCGGCCTCTCCCCGCTGTGGACCAGCTGGTGCAGACGGAGCCGGCTCCTGCTCTCGAAGGCCTTCCCGCACGCGCCGCAGCCGTGCGGCTTCTCCCCGCCGTGCGCCTTCCTGTGGCGGCAGAGCGCGGACGGGCTGCCGAAGGCCTTCCCGCACGGGGCGCAGCGGAAGGGCTTCTCGCCCGTGTGGCTGATGCGGTGCACCGAAAGCTGGCTGCTGGTCTTGAACGCTTTCCCGCACTCGTGGCACACACGGGGCTGCTCGCCAGAACGCACGCGCTCGTGCAGACGCAGGTCCGCATGCCAACTGAAGCTCTTGCCACGTTCGGCCCCGCTGTGGGGTTTCCGTTCTGGAAGGACTCCGTTGTACGGAATACGCTTCGAGTCTGGACTGAAGTTTTTTCTGAGGACCTCTGGGGCCTTTCCTTCATTGCAGGTCACCTGCTCCCCTCCCAGTGTCTCCATCCCGGGCGCGTCCCGTGGATTCCCTAACTTGACATCCTGGGCACGAGCTCCTCCAGCCTCAGGATCGTGGGACAGGACTTTCAGGAGACTTTTGACGTGGACCCAGCCGACTTCCCCGCTCTCAAACACCTCCTGTTCTGAACTTGCCTTCTCAGTCCCCGGCCAGGTCCTGTCCACTGATACTTAAGGAAATAAAAATGTCACATGTTCAGGGGTCGTGAAACACGGGAGATGGGAGAGGTGAACGGGTGAAGCCCAATGAAGGGTACGTGACTTTCCCAGGCTGGAAGAGAGCTACGGTTATGGCCAAAGGCTGCGACAGGTTGGTATAAGGAGAAGTACCAAGACAGCTCAGACTCTGTAAACTTTACAAAAATCCTTAGAAACCTACTTGTTCTCGAGAATCTCACGGTACGCCCAGGCACCTCGGTCAGGAAACTGAGTCACATCCAACCCTCTCTGTCCTTCAGATTTGCTCAGCTGACATTTTACAAATTCCACCTGAGACATGGACTGCAGTCTAACCCCCAGGGACCCATCTGCTCTGCAGTGCAGCTCTGCCCACCTGGGTGCAGGGCACATCCCATCTGGCCCCCCTCACCCAGACCAGGCCAGGTTCTCTCTCCTTGGACTCTGACTCAGGCTCTGACAACAGCCAGTGCTGGGGGGAGGGTGTACCGCCCAGGGGAGGGAGCATCCTGCCATCGGCAGCGAGCAGAGCGGGGCAGTCAGCCAGGACGGAGGGAAGCAGACCTGCAGAGGGGATGGTGGGGCGAGGGCCCTGATGTCCCCCTGCTCTTAGCTTCCATGACACCCCTGAATAATAAATTCTCATTGTTTTGCCTGTTAGAGTTAATTTCTACTGCTGGCAACCAGAGTTCTAATAAGTCTTCTCTGTATCTCAGCTCACCCCTTCCTCTCGATTTCTCCTGTCAGGGCATTCTTGCTCATTAACTGCCCCCCACCCCCTACTGTCCTTTAGTCTGCCTCCCCTCGAATCTGTGCTGTACTCTGCTTCCAGATTTTTCTTTCTAAAAATCAAATCTAATCATGCCACTCCTCAGCTTGAAAGGTCTCAGTGGCACTGCATGGTTAGCCAGACGGAAAGGAGGTAAAGCGTGCAGGTCAGAGCCGCAGGTCTGCAGTGGGACCATCTGGGCTGAAATCCTCACGCTGACTCCTACTGGCTGTGCAGCCCGCGGGGTTGGCCGCATCTCCCTGGCCTCAGTTGCTCATCTGTAAGATGGGATCATTTTACGTATGCTAAGGTGGGTAAAGCACTTGCCACACGGACGTGAATGCTTCATCAATGTCACTCCTACTGTCAGAATAAAGTTCAAAGTCTGCAGTTTATCAAAACCCCTCTGAATCGTGGCCTTGCTCCTTGCTGCTCCCACACCGGCCGCCTGGAGCCCTTTGCTCCGGCCACGCTGCGCACACTTCATGCTTTTCCTCCTCAGCACTTCCCCACGTTCTCAGAATGCCTCTTCCCTCCTCCCACTAAACCATCTGACTTATGCCACCGCTTAGTTCATGGTCATTCCTTCCACAGCCACCTGGTCCCCAACTCAGATTCAGATGCTTCTCTTCCGTGTCTGTGTATCCCAGGTACGTATCTGTGACTCCCGCTATTCCGTGCCACCCCTCACTACCTGCCTTCCCTGCTAGGCAATAATATTTGATGCCATCTCAGTACCTTGTCGAGTGGCTGGTGTGCAGTAGTTGCTCAATAAATGTTTGTTGGAGGGCAGGAGGGAGGAGGAAGGAAAGAGCAGGTATTGTGATAGGGCAGCTGGGCTGGCCTACGGATAAGGGACACTTTTTTGAAGGACAAATGGAGATAACAGTTTGAATGAAGAGCTGGTACTGATTCACGACTGACCAGGAACGTGGGTCAGGGAGTGTGAGAGGCAACGTGAGAGAGAGGTAGACCCGGGTACAGAAACAGGGAGGGCTTGGTGGAGACGGGCTGCGGGGAGGCGAGTTTGCCTTCAGGCATGCCGCTCTCCAGCGGACGATGGGATACCCAGCAAGCCGGGAGTTAGGAACAAGAGTGCTGCCCAGGAAAGGGGAGAAGGGAGCCATGTCCATGCAGCCAGCCCCTGCTGCCGAGCTGACGCCGTGAGGGAAAGCAGAGAAAGGCAAGGGTCAGAGGCCCAGGGCTCAGTGTGGGGAAGGTCCTGAACGAAAACTAGGGGCAGAAAAGCAGGGTTCTCTGAGCACTGGAGGAACTGATACACAGAAGGGAGGTGAACTCACTAAGCTTTCTCTGAGGACCGAATTGCAAAGGGCCTATTAGATAGGGTGCAAAGAAGCAATCAGATCATGACAGAATCTTTGCCCAAAGAGTTTGCTGCTGTTTGTTTTCTCTTTGTTAGGGTGCCTGGGCGGGTGAGGACGGATGACCCGGCACTAAGAACGTTCTACAAACACCTGCCCCAGGGCACCCAGCAGGAGGCTGGAGCTCCTCCATCACTCACCTGGGAAGGAGCAGCTCAGGAACCCCCCGTCCTGCAGATCCTGAACGCAGGGCTCGTTCCCTTGCTCCAGATGGGAGATCAGAGGAGGCTTAGGGACTGCAAAGCCTGGTCGTGGAGAAGGAATACGAGTGTGCAGAGCAACATGACAAGGGTCCTAATACCCAGCCTTGACCCCTCTGCCCACATAGGGCAACAAGAAAGAAATGGCCATTGGGGTAGAGAGAGGGTTTGTTCAGGGGTCTGGTCACATGGAAACGTGTACGGATATTCGCAGAAGAGTCCTACTCAAAAGGCAGAGGAGGAGACCCTGGGGGACGGTCGCTGCTCTTTCAATGATCTTGCCATATAACAGAGGCAAGAATATGAGGCCCCACATACATCAGTAAACAACGCAACTGAAAGGAAAAGCAAACAGTACTGAGCCAAGTGCAGGGACTTCCTTACCGACCGAGATCACGTTCCCGTAGTTCTCCAACATGACGTCTGCATAGAGGTGCCGCTGAGCGCGGGTCAGACACTGCCACTCTCCACTACTGAAGTGCACGGCCACGTCCTCAAACGTCACCGAGTCCTGAAACAGTGCAGTCCCGCTGTCCTGGAGAAAACCCCATGGGGCCCTCCCCTTTTGGGAGAAGGTTTATAGAAACGAGGTGGTTACTGTGTTTTGTGTGTTTGGGTTGAGGTGAAAGGAAGTGAACACCCATGGCAGAGGGAACAAGGAATGAATGGCGTGTCATCCAGTGGAATGTTCCTTGAGAGGGAGCACCTGCATTTGGGGGCTGAGTCAGGGAATGAGTGGAAGGAGGCGGTGCTGTATTTCCAGGAAGGATGGAGGGGCCGCAGCTTACCCGGGCCTGGCTCATCGGTGTGCTCTTTGCTCCTGGCTGGTCTCCTTGGCTTCCCTCTCTGCCAAAGGCAGGATGCTGAGGGGTTGGCAGAGCTGAGAGAAACGAGGCGGGTCAATTTGGTACAGTATTACCGAAACCTTCCGCTTTCCTCCTTTTTTCCCCGGTATAGAAGCTTCTCAAGCTCCGTCTTCCCCATTATTTCTCCAGCCTCGGGTTCGGCACAAAGTCGCGCGGATGGCCAGTGCTCTCTCCCTCACCTACGACGTGTTTTCTCCTCTGGTCTCTCTTCATCCTAGAATGACCTCACCCCTCCCCGCCCCAAGCCCACATCACTGACTCCTGGCTTGTGGGATAACCTCTCCTCCAGTATTTGAACGGGTTGAAGGGGTGGGGTGGGGCGAACAGAAAGGACGAAAGTGAGGAATAGCAATATGCAGGGACAGGCCCAAAGCTTGCTCCTTTCGGTAACTTAGTGGCTGCTCTGCCCCCAGTTAGTTTCTTAGAAAATTTTCTTTCCTGTTCTTCTTAGAGAAACACCACCTTCCCCCTGTGATTCTGAGTCTCTCCTATTAATTCCCGAGCCCTAAACCACCCTCCCCACCTGGGTAGTAGAGCACACACTGCTAGTTAACGCGGCCCTAATTCCTTCCTAGTGGGCCAGCCCAACCTTCCTCCAGCTGCAGTGTTTGCAGCAACTAACCTTTCTAGAAAGTTCATCAGCACATCCCAAATCAGAGTCTGAACAATTTCTTTCAGAAGATACCAGTGGGGTTAGTCACCAGTTGGTAAGACCCAAGGATTACCCTGTGGCCTCAGGTCCCCATAATTTCATTCCAATTTCACCGAAACTTCAATTTAGGAGCAGACTGGTTTCTTCCCAGAGAAACTCCCCACGATTCTTCTTCAGTTTAGGCTACTCTTGGCTTTTGACCAAGACCCGGACTGTGTTTTAGTCCTCATGGGCCCCACTCTGTCACTCCGCGTCTCACTCTACAAGCCCACGTGCTCGGTAATTCTTTGTCGCACACAGTCCCACAGCCACCTGGCCTGCACACAGCTCACAGCAGATGCTCGGTCTGCTCTGCTCCTTGTGATGTCAAAAACATAAACCTCCCAACTGTTTTTTTCTTTTTTTTCCAATCCACACTTTATCATGAACATTTTCAAATATAGAGAAAAGCTGAAAGGTTTAGTAAACATCCACATACTCACTTTAACGTTCATAATATGTGCTCTATCGCATATCTGTCCATCTAACTAGCCCTCTATTAATTCACTTTATTTTTTGCTGCATTTCAAAGTAATCGAAGATATCAGCATACTGCACCCCAAAACACCTTATGGTACATATCATGAACTAGAGTTCAGTATTTGTTTACGTTCTTGTTGAGGTAAAATTTACTACAGTAAAATAAACAAGTCTTAAGTGTACTATTGGGTGAGTTTTGACAAAACATACCCCTATTTAACCCAAACTCCCCTCCAGATATATCCCAGTTGGATTTTTACTATATCCTCTTCACAGACTGGGAAAGTTTTGTTAACTCACAGCGGTTCTTCTTTTTTTTAAAAAGTGCTCATCACACTAAGAATTTTTTTGAATTGTGGAAAAAAATATGTAACAAAATTTACCGTCTTAACCATTTTTAAGTGCACAGTTCAGCAGTGTTAAAAATACTCACAGTGTTGTGTAATCTCCAGAACTTTTTCATCCTGCAAAACTGAAACTCTATACCCATTACACAACTTGCTATTTCTCCCTCCTCAATCCCTGGTCACCACAGTGGTTCTTAGGCTTTAGTTTTTAGCTTCAGATTTTGAAAGGTCAGTTTCTGCCCTCAAGTTAAACATGAACTTGGGAGGGGCGCCTGGATGGCTCAGTCATTGAGCGTCTGCCTTCGGCTCGGGTCATGATCTCAGGGTCCTGGGATTGAGCCCCACATCGGGCTCCCTGCTCCGCGGGAAGCCTGCTTCTCCCTCTCCCACTCCCCCTGCTTGTGTTCCCTCTCTCGCTGTCTCTGTCAAATAAATAAATAAAATCTTAAAAAACAACAACAACAAAAAACATGAACTTGGGAGACAGGCTATGTACTCAAACGGCACGAAACTACCTTTGCCAACTCAGGCTGCCATAACAAAATACCACAGCCTGGGTGGCTCACACACTGGAAACCTACTTCTCATGGTTCTGGAGGCTGGAAGTCGGAGATCCAGGTTCTGGCATGAGCCCTGCCCGGCTTGCCATCCTGTCCTCATGTGGGGGATGTAGACAGCTCTAATAAGGACACTAATCTCTTCATGTGGCCCCACCCTTATGTCTTTCTCTAAACCAAATTACTTCCCAAAGGCCCCACCTCTAAATATCACCACAATGGGGGTTAGGGCTTCAACATGTGAATTTTGAGGGGACACAAACATTCAGCCAGTAACTGTTTGTTAAAGCAGTGTACAGATATTATCTAGGATGAGGTTCATTCATTTATATTATATGTTAGATAACTATGAACTTTATGGTCCTGAAAATCACCAATGGGAAGAGAATTTAAGGTCTTATGAAAAAAGAGGACCAGGAGATGCAGGTCAGATGTGAACCATAAGAGTGTGTATAATTTTATATTTAAAAAAATGAAATTAAACACCCAAGTTAAGCAGTGTCGATTATCTTCTACCTCAAATATGTTCTATATTATTAATTTTCATTTATGATTCCTTATACAGTTGAAATTTCAGGATTTCTCCTCTGGAAGTTCCAATAATATACTCTTTTCTTCTTTGTAGATAATATATACTAAAAGTCTACTTTTGGGGTGCCCAGCTGCCTAGTCCTCTGTCCAAAAGTCTGCCTTTCAGGGTCTGCCTTTGGAACTACGGAACTGCTGAATGCCGTCTCCTGGGTTTTACCTCCATCAGCCACTTCTCCAGTCTTTTTCTTTTTTTTTTTTAAAGATTTTATTTATTTCAACCGAGAGAGACAGCGAGAGAGGGAACACAAGCAGGGGGAGTAGGAGAGGGAGAAGCAGGCTTCCCGCCGAGCAGGGAGCCCAATGTGGGGCTCGATCCCAGAACCCTGGGATCATGACCTGAGCCGAAGGCAGATGCCTAATGACTGAGCCACCCAGGCGCCCCGCCACTTCTCCAGTCTTGTCCACTTTGCTCTTCACACACGTCATCACTCAGCACTTCTAAAGCCCAGCCTCACATTTCTCCATCTACCTTTATTTTTCCCAAAGCTTCACGACAAAACCTTTGCTCCTTCTTTGCCACTGTTTTATCTTCTGTTTCTCAGGGACTCATTTTATACTTTTAAAATCTCAGGGTTCCAGAAAGGTCTACAGAAGTGAAATTACATACATTCAACATGGACATGTTGGCAAAACTGCTGGGGTAGGAGTTACTGAATGATACCACAGGTTTTATGTACACATATATGTTATTTATCGCGTCAAGTTGTACATATAATACGTGATGGAATGCAATTTCTTTGATAAGTTGCTTTGTAGAATTTTTTCTTATAAGTCTGATTATTTTTTCCAAATTTGGTGTAAGATGAGGGCAGAAACTGAATAATTTAGTTCCTCTCAATACTGATCCAAGCCTAGAATAGTCTTCCAATAAATGCTCAATAATGAGGGGCTTCCCAAGCCCCAGGAAGCATCTCCTCCCTGCCTCCCTCCACCCCTCTTGGCACAATACCCTATGCGCCTCACCTCTTTCCTGCAGGAGCTCAGCATCAGGGGTCCCAGGCAGCTGGCGTGGTGGGCCTGGACTCTCATGTGACACCACTGCCTATTACGAGGCACAGAAAAACTCAGGGAGGTTATGGACAGGAGGAAAACAAGCCCTAACCAACTATAAACTATAAAGCTTTGTCCGTGGAAATCAACTCCCAGACATACCAAGAGGGGAGAGAAATTCAGGGACTCAGTCCCTGATACACCTTACGAAAAACAGAAAAGTCGGACGCCTGGGTGGCTCAGTCGGTTAAGCGTCTGCCTTCAGCTCAGGTCATGATCCCAGAGTCCTGGGATCGAGTCCTGCATCGGGCCCCCTGCTCCGCGGGGAGCCTGCTTCTCCCTCTGCCTCTGCCTCTCTCTCTATCTCTCATGAATAAATAAATAAATAAATAAATAAAAAAGAAAGAAAAACAGAAAAGTCTTCCTCTCTGTCACTGGAAAGTTTTCATGGTCACGAAGCCATCCAGGAAAAATAATATTTTGAAGCAGGAAACTTCCACCATGGCCCCCACTGCTTTCCTTTTTTGTACTCGCTTCTTCCTCCTCCTTGGGACACGTTGCAGACCCTCCTTTCCTTACCTGCCACATCTTTTTACCCAGCTTTCTTTAGTCTTCCACCGCAGTCCAGATTCTTCCCTGCTGCTTGGGTCAAACTCCCAGAGTCAGTTCTGGCTTTGCCCAGACAACAAGTTTGGAAGTGGCCTGGGGATGCCAGCCAAAGGGCCCCTGATGACCCACAGGGCAGCTGCTGTTTGGCCTGATGTGTCACACAATGCCCTGGATTTGGGCTTCATCAGCACTATTGAGCTAGCTGTGGTCTCACACCTTGTTTTCCTGAATATTCCATGAAAAGGGAAGAGAGGACCATGAACACAGCAAAAAGAAGCAATCACTGGGGATTATCTGTGGGAAAAGAGGGAGCACAGGAAGACAAACTGAAAATGTTATGTATCTGGAAGATGACCTCCACAGCCACCATCCTGGTCCAAGCCGCCATCGCGCGCCTTGCTCCCCATTCTTACTAACTGGTCTCCCTGCGTCTATCCTTCCCTTCCACCTCTTACCAATACAACGGTCAGAGTGGTGTGCTTGAAACCTAAACTGGGTTATTTCATCTCTGCTTAAAACCTCCCGTCTCCAGCTTACTCGGAACAGTGCGTACACACGTGCCCGTTCCTTCTGACCACCTCTCTCACGTACTCAGAATAAAAGCTGGTCTTACGTGGCATAAAGTCTACAGACGTGCCGAGCACCGCTCCTACTGCGCTCCTCCTCGTCCCACCGTGCTCACTCACACAGACCTTTCTCTTCCCCCTTAGGGCTTTTGCACCTGCCGTCCCTCCACCTCCGGCAATTCTCAGGGCACACGATCTCGCTTCCAAGTGTGTGCTTGTCTGTCATCTTCCCAAGATCGGCTCTAGGCGCCCTACTAACGCTGCCACCTGCTCGCTCCTTCCGATCCCGACGCCTACCTGGCTTTACCTTTCCTCTGTTTTCTCCAGCAGCACCGCCCACTTCCCAGCCCGGTAAGTCACCGGTTCTGCGTCGTTATGCAGGGTCGGTCTCTCCCTCACTGAACAGGGCGGGCTCCCGAGGGCAGGGATTTCTGGCCACTGCGTTCGCAGCTGTACTCGCAACGCCTAAAACAGCGCCTGCCCCAGCGGCTCAAGGAATGACTGCGTGCGCGGACGCTGGGAGGACAATAAATGCGGGGTGGGAACAGGGAGCCAGAACCCTGCGGGAGAGCCCCGTCTGGCGGCGAAGCTTGCCCCTCCCGCCGCGACCCTGGACGACCTGGCCGTAGCGCGGGAGCCCGCGGCCGAGCTCCCACCGCGCGCGGGCTGGAGGCGCGGCCCTTCCCGCCCCACTCGCCCCAGGAGACCAGCAACCGGGAAATCTGTGCCAGCTCCACTTCCTAGTCCTCCCCCACCCACTTCCGGTGACTTTCTAGGAAACGCGGCCACTCGCTGGTCGGGACGTCCCCGGAAATTCCGCCGGGCCTCTCGCGCGGGCGTCCCGGGAGTTCGCGCGAGTTCCCGAGGGCGCGCGGGGCGCGGGGGTCGCAGCGTGAGTGCGTCCGCACAGCGACCGGCTGTGGTCCGGCTGGGGCTCCTCGCCAGAGCGCGCGGGAATTTTGTGACAGAGATATGGGAAAAAGTCACTTTTAAATATCAGCCAAAAACACAAGGTAAATGATAGGCTGCTCTTTTTTCAAACATTAAAACAGTCGTTATGAAAAAATGAAACCTACACAAAAGTTGAGAGAAGACTAAGGAGCCCGCATACACTCACCGCGGCCGCACTTGTTTCATCTGGCCCCGCCAACCCCGTTTTCTTTGCTGAAACGTTTGAAAGCAAAACCCAAAGATGTTATTTAAATACTGTGTTTTTGAGAATGCCTTTCTTTCTTTCTTTTTTTTGTTTGTTTGTTTGTTTTAACTTTATTATGTTATGTTAGTCACCGTACAGTACATCACTGGTTTTTGATGTGGTGATCCACAATCCATTGTTTTCGAATAACACCCAGTGCTCCATGCAGTTCGTGCCCTCCTTAATACCCATCACCAGGCTAACCCATCCTCCCACCTCCCTCCCCTCTAAAACCCTATTTGTTTCTCAGGTCCATAGTCTCTCATGGTTCATCTCTCCCTCCAATTCCCCCCGCCCATTTTTCCCTTCCTTCTCCTAATGTCCTCCATG